GCGCCGCGGCAGGCGAAAAGAAGGGGGCAAATGGGGGCGCGCCGGCGATCCCAAGGATACCCCTCGCTGGCTTCGCCTGGTCTCCTGGGCGCGCGCCAGCGGGGGCGGGCTCGACGCCCGCGTCTGCGACGTCGAAGACCCCGGCCAGCTCTTGGGACCGCTCCTGCCGACTATTGGCACGCGCCCATTCGACGACCGTGACATCCGGATTCTCCCTAGCGGAACGCTCGCGACAACCTGGCCGAGGTGTCGGGGGCGCGCCGGATCGTCGAGGTCAACGTCGCCGGCGCCCGGGCGCTGGCGTGCGATCGCCGGGTCCACGGAGTTCCGCTTGCACCCGTGGCTGGACCGGGCTGCTTCGACTGGGCCAAGTGCCGCGAGAGTTTCCTCGGCGCTATCCCAACATTTTACGCTGCGCGTGCGTCGCCCCCTATGGGGCGACGCGATCGCCGAGCACTCTTGTAGTATGTGTCGTGGCGGGCACTGACTGGCCGCGCCGCTCGGGGAACGATCTATACTGAGGGATAGGTATATTATGTCTGGGTCGGACGCGCGCCTCCAAGGAGGACGTGTCGCATTAGTTTTTTCTTGCGCGTCCCATTTACGAGTCGGAGATTCGGGGGGCAAGCTTGACCGGGCGGCAGTACTCGTCCCTTCACAGTGAGACGACAAGTGCTACATAGTCCGTCGTGCTGGTTGCAGGAACCGCCCAGGCGCGCTGCTGCGCGCGCTGATGCGACGCCGAGCACATGTCCAGTTTCCTGCCCAGAACTTCGCGCACAGTGCGACGACCCCGTTGCGTGGCTGGCAACATCCAGACCTGGTGGTTGCTAGCCAGGGCGCGGCGACTACGTCGCTGGCCCCGCGCCGCTGGCTTTGAACGCGGGCCAAGTCAGCCGCGGAGAGGGCCGCGCCGCAGGCGGGTCAACCAAGAAATTTCAGGAATACGGCGGATTCGGCGATGCATTTCTGCGCCCGTCCAGTCTGGAGGACATAGCCGCTTTTCAGATGCAGCCCATGGCACATTCGCCCGGCGCCCGTCGTCACCCCGTGACCTGAGGCCACCGCGCCAGAGCCTGTTCCGGCAGCGAGTGGCCAAGAAGTTGGCGATCCGCTGGATCAGGTACCGATCCCACTCGAGGGCGCCAGTCACGGGCGAAGTCGTAATTTGTGAAAAGAGTTGTGGCAATACGTGGGCTCCCAGTTGATGGCCCCTGGCCCCGCGGGCAACTTCCCCTCCCTGGGAGAGTTCGATTTGGATAGCGCGCGCCCCGATAGTCGAGACGCTGATGAGCCCTCGGACCTCTGGGAGAAAGCGTCGGCCGATTAGGGGGGGCGCAGAGGAGGTTCTCACATTAGTCGGCCTCCAGAAGGCCAGAACGGTAGAGGAGCTGCGGCTATGCTGTCCGCCTGTGGACACGCGCCCACCTGTCCCCGCGGGCGAGCCGCGGGCATCTGCGGATGTCCCCACAGGAGAGCCTGGCTGCGTGGGTAGTGCCGGCGGCTATCGGACCCGTTCGCATACGCCCGGGCATCGCCTCCGCGCGCGCGTTCGCCCCGCGCGGACCGCCGCGTGGCAGTGAAGCGAGACTAGTTCTCAAGGGAAGACCTGTTCACCGCATCGCTCGCGTCGTGGAAGCCATCGACAAAGATTTCGCGGGCTACGATGAGGGGATGACCAAACAGCAGGTATAAGTGGTTACGAACAAGGCGAAGCAGCATTGGGCATCATTGCCGATGCTCAGCAGTTGTGATCCTGAGCATCCGCTTCGCTCTGAATGCGCTCTTACCGATGTCGCGTCGCCAGCGGATGGCCAGGAAGTTGGCGCTCCGCTGGATCAGGTGCCGATCCCGCTCGAGGGCGCGGCCCGCGGGCGAAGTGTTGATAATTTGATGGAAGATTGGTGGCCATACTTCTGCTCCCAGTTGGTGGCCCGGGGCCCCATGGGCAACGTCTCCCTCTTGGAGGAGTCCGATTGGGACTACGCGCGCCCCGATAGTCGAGACGCTGATGGGCCCTCGGCTGGCTGGGGGAAAGTACTGGCCGATTACGGGGACCCAGAAGAGGTTCTCACATTAGTCGGCCTCCAGACGGCCAGAATGGTAGAGGAGCTGCGGCTGTGCTGCCCGCCCGTGAAAACGCACGCACCTGTCCCCGCGGGCGAGCCGCGGGCATCTGCGGATGTCCCCACAGGAGAGCCTGGCTGCGTGGGCAGTGCCGGCGGCTATCGGGGTCGTTCGCATGCGCCGGGGCAGCGCCTCCGCGCGCGCTTTCGTCCCGCGCGGACCGCCGCGTCGTAGCGATGCGAGACTAGTTCTCAAGGGGTGACCTCTTCACCGTGTTACTCGCGTCGTGGAATTCATCGACGAAGATTTCGCGGGCTACGATGAGGAGATGAACAAACTGCAGGTATAAGTGATCGCGAACAAGGCGAAGCAGCATTGGGCATCATTGCCGATGCTCAGCAGTTGTGATCCTGAGCATCCGCTTCGCCTTGAATGCACTCTTACCAGGATCGCGTCGCCGTCGAGAAGATCGAGGACTTTGTCTGATATGCGAATGGCCGCAACGACGCGAACGCGACCGAGGTGAAGGCGCACCGAGACATCGTGCGCAAGGAATTCAATAATGTCAAGGCGCGCCAGGGGACTGTCAAGGTGGTGCGCGACGGCGTCGATGGCCAGGTTCTCGACACAACGCGCCGTCATGAAGAGCATCCCGCAGATCGAGGACGGCCTGCAGTTCCTCCAGATCGGCGAAGGCGCGCACCTCTCCGCGGTTGACCAGACTGGCAGGCATTTAAATGACAAGCGCCTGTCCGTTGGAAGGTGAACGTGGGCAATGCTGCCATGGGTGCTCTGTCTGGACGGATGACTTCCAAGGCGCCCCGGCCGTGTCCCACGGCTCCGAGGCAGTGCTCTGCGGGGCCGCCAGCGTCTCGGGATTGTGCTCCGAGCGTTGAGCAGGGCGCATCAATTTCCTGCGGTCGTAAAGGCTGCGTGCGCCGCCCCCCTGCCCAGCTGAAAGTCCGCCCAGCCGCGGCGCGGGGGCCCTCAGCCGGCAAGGGCGCCGAGAGCCGACCGCAAAGCGATCGAGCAGAGGAGGTGGCGTGGACCTGAGTGCGGAGCGCCGTGCCGGCCAGAGACGGCGCGGCGCCGCGCGCAGCCGCGATGCTGAACCCGCCGCCTGGGCGCTCCGTGATCTGGCCCCAGCGCCATCCAGCAACGCCCCGGTCACCCTCGCGCGCGCGTCGGAGACTGACGCGCGAGGGGCGGTCCTGGGGGGCGACGCCGCGAGGGCGCCGCGGCGCGGGCCCAATCAGGGCCTTGGCGCGCAGGATTCGTAGTCGTCGCGGCGGGGCTCGGGGCGGAGCTCTGGCGGCTGGCGCGGCTGGCGCGGCCAGGGCAGCGGCCGGGGCCGCGGCGACCGCGGGCGCGACGGCCGTTGCCGATGGAGGGCGTCTCATGTCTGCGGCGCGAGCGCCCTGGAGCGCGTCAGCGGCGCTGTGGCGGGCGATGGGCTCGGCGCCGCGCGCCCGGAAGCGCGCCCTAGGACTTTGCGCAGTCTCCGCGCCAGGTCGGCCGCGGGGGGAGTCGTTATCCAGGGCTCAGCCTTGACGACGGCGACGGACCGTGACAATTGTGATTTGGCGCGGCCATGTGCGCGGCGCGCGGGAGAGTCGGCGCGCGCGACGGGCCCGCCGCCTTTCGGCCAGCCGGCGCCATGCATCTCCGTGCTCTCGCACGCCCGCGCAATGAAACATGTCTTTCTTAGCCATGGCGCCGAGTGCATTCTTCCCCAGACTCAGCTTGGGACCGCCACTCGGAAAATCCAGAAGATCACACAGAACATCTGCCCGTTTACATGGAGATCCCCATCAAGAGAATTATTCTTCAGATTCTTCACAGCATTGGTCTCGACGCGCGCCTGGAAGTACGCCTCCTGGTACGGCAGGTCGAACCGCTGCTCTTCAGCTCGCGCGCGATTTCGCGCAGCCGAGGACGCCCGCGCCCCAACGGAGCGTGAAGCCCGAGGTCGGCATCCACCAACATTTCTCAGGAACAAAACGACCACATAAACATAATATCGGTACCCTTTTGGCACAATTCCGCGAAAAACGGCGGAGACCGACTCGCAACAAACATAGGCCAATGCTCGCACCAGTTTGTCCGTGATGCCGCAGTCCCCCATTTGCGCAAACGGCCTGTGCAGGGCGAGCAGTTGCTGCCGTAGCTCCCCTGCGTCATTGCCGCGCCACAAATCAAGCACAAACCTATCCGCGATGGTGTTTTGAGGAGTGCGGAGCAAGGTTCTTAGTTTCTTTTATGTCATTGGGTGTCCTGGGGTGACATATAATTTTTGATTGACATAAAACACACAGCACGTGGTATTTACATAAACCTCCAAATCGCGTTGCCGCCCGAACCGTCCGAAAATGGTGAACTGTTCTGGGAAATCCGCCGGCGAGGAGTTTCGTTTTTTCCGCTCGCCCGCCGGGTCTGTTTTCCGACGTCTGGCGGTCTCTGGAGATTGCCGTCTCGAAGTCGTTGACGCTCTGGAAGCGGGCGTGTTCGAGTGGGGTGACGCGGGCGCATCTGTCTGCACGCCCCGATCAAATAGGTTCGCGCGCCAGCCCGCGCGCAGAGGCGGGCGACCAATCGGAAATTGTGCGCCTATTATGTTTAGGTCGGCTTCTCGTTCCCTAATTTTCAGTCTTCCGAAAAGTCGAGGGAGCGGAGGCAGCGGGCCGAGGAGGAGAAATATGTTTTGACTTCGGCCGTCTGAATCGCGTCTGCATGGCCTGTTTTCCGAGTTGCGCATGGAAGTCCTGCCCCCGCAAAATAGTTCCAGAGGAAGGAGGCAAAACCCTGCTGACGGAGGGTCTTCTGAAAACAGCCAACGGCAGCGCGTGATCGAGCGCAAGCCAGACGAAGAGGAGGGATGAGGGGGAGGCTGCCCTTGCTTTCTATCAAGCTTGCGGGCGGGCCCGGCCGGCCAGGCGCTGGTCGAGGTGGTCTTGGCCAAGATGTTCCTCGTGGTTGCGATTATGGCGATGCGGGTAGGGTGGGGCATCGAACGTGGTGGTTCAAGGTTTTGTTTCTCGTCCTCTCGTGTTTGGCGGCCTGCGGGGCGCGCCTCGTGGCCACAGCTGCAGATTTGGTCGACATGCGCACGCACGTCGACAGCTGCGGGGTGAAGCTCTATCGGGATCAGGACGACGACGAGGAGGATCTTACTCAGCAGTCGCCCGTTTGGGCCTCTTGATTTTTTGGTCGCCACGGACGGGCCCTCTTCGAACTTCATGCTAGACCACACCCGAGGGCGGGCCCGGAGGGGGTTATGTTTGAGAGGCATCCGGGACCGACGTCGCGTTTTGTGTCTCAGCGCGGGGCCTCGGATGTCGGGAGCTGTTCTCCCTGGGGCTTGGCTCGTCATGCCGGGCCTTCTCCTGTTGCTGTCCCGGGGCCTGTTGTCGGGGACCCCGAGGGCCCTCACACGGGCAGAGCACGGCAGTCATGTCTCTCACGATGGGCGGAGGTCCAGGGAGGACAGAGGGGGGTCCCAAGAAGAGAGGTTCTGTGTTTTTTTTTTTTTTGCAAGAAGAGAGGTTCTGTGGGTGGGGATGCCGGGGCCAGGCGGGGAGCGTCGGTCGGGGCGAGGAGGGGGGTATCGATCGGTTTTGAGCGAGAAATCGCGGTGGGGGGGGTCCCCAGAAGAGAGGTTCTGTGGGCGGGGATGCCGGGGGAGGAGAGGCTGATCGGGTCGGACGCACGGGGGGGACTGGGACAAAAAGGGGGTCACGAAACCTTCTGCATGCAGCTAGTGTCGGTCCCGCCGAGGGGCCCACTCCTGGCTACATGGTCGTCTCCTTCGGCGCCGGGGGGCGCCGTGTGAATGGGTTAGGTGAGCTGATTCGCGACCCCCCCCCTTGTGTCATCCTGCCGTGTTCGTTCGGCACCGGCGGCCAGCATGCGCCGAAGATGCACCAAGGATGCTGCAGGACGCCCATCCTTCCCACGAGCCCACGCCCGGGGGCGAGTGGCCGATGGGCCATCGCTCCGATCCACCGCCTGCCCGGGGGGGGGGGCCCTCCTCCTTCTCCTTCCTTCTCCTCTTACCTTCGTCCTCCTCCTTCTCCTCCCTTGTCCTCCTCCTTCCTCCTCCTTCCTTGTCCCCCTTCCCTCCTCCCCTCCTCCTCCTCCTCCTCCTCCCCTGCTCCTCCTCCTCCTCCTCCTCCTCCTCCTCCCTGTCTTCCTCCTCCTCCTCCTCCCTGTCTTCCTCCTCCTCCTCCTCCTCCTCCAAGTTCTTTTCCTAGTCCCCTCCACAGTGCGCGAGGTGCCCTCTTGAGAGACGGGCGCCCCAGGGTCCTGCCGTTGTGGCCAGGGCCCTGCTCCTGGACAAGCGTTGGCATTGCTTCTGGCTGCACACGCCGGTCGATGGGAAGAAGTGCTCCCAATCCCTTGTAAATCGCCCCCCCTAAAACAAAACCGGACCTCCCTCCACATGCGACCTAATATGCCAGACCCCCCTCTTCGACGGGGCGCCTTCCTGAAGCGGACCCCCTAAGCTCCGATCCAAAGCAAGCGCCCTAATAAACCAGACCCCCCCAGTTTCAAAAAAGGTGCCTCAAAAAGTCAGACCCGGGGGACGATTAATAAAGGATTTGGAGCATCCTTGGATTACCAATCCCAATGTGTTGCAAGCGCCTTCCCATTCGAAGGGTTGAGCGGTTTTCTTCTTCCATCCATTTCACGGGGCGGGCGGAAGCCCAATCCACTTCCAACGCCGTCCTACTTCATGTTTCTGCCCACTTGTTCCGATCAACGGGTAAGGGCAAGGACGAGGTAGCACACACTCAATGGGAAGTGTGGTATCCCCGCTCTGGCAACAAGCCCCTCTATATCTCTAACTTCCATGCGTCTGGTCATCACACCAGAGGAAGTCTGAGGCGATAGCCCCGATTCGAAAAGGAGCCGCCCCCCATCCGCTGATGTCATACACGCGTAATTATATGTGCCGTGATAGGCCCCTCCGTCAAACCAACGAGTTTCAATCACGAGTAGGAGGAGGAGGAGGAGGAGGAGGAGAAGGAGGGGGAGAAGGGAGGAGGAGGAGGGAGGAGGGAGGAGGAGGAGGAGGAGGAGGAGGAGGAGGAGGAGGGAGGAGGAGGAGGAGGAGGGAGGAGGGAGGAGGAGGAGGAGGGAGGAGGTCCTCGCCACGTCGCGCCCCGTGCCGCTCTGCGGGGGGTGCGCCGCGGCTGCGCCGCGCCGCTGCCCGCGCCCCCCCGCGGGCGCCCCGCCCCGCGGGGCGGGGGGCCTGCTGAGGCTGCGCCGCGTCGGCGCCCCGTTCGCCACCGCGTCTCGGGCGCCCCCGTGGCTCCGGGCTCGCACGACGCCGCCCTCCCCACATTGGCCTGCTCCAAGGGCGCCCCTCGAGGGCGCGGAGGTGTTCGCGCTCTCGCGCCTCGCGGTTCGGCTCCGATGCCTCCTCCTCCTCCTCCATTCGAAACCCTTTCAATAAGGGCTCCGCAGCGCCCCGCGGCGGGGCGCTGTAGCCCGTCAGTCCAGCGCCTTCTGGTGGGCGCCGAACAGCTTCTCCTCGAACTTCTTTGCGACGGGCGCCCCTCCTTTGCTCGCGAGCTGAGGGACGCCCGACCTTCTCTTCTTTTTCTTTGCTGTCGAGCCGCCTCCGAGCTCAGGCTGAGCTGGCGGCCCCCGTCTGTTACACGGGGTGCGGGCCGCTCCCCTCTTCGGCCCGAAAGCTGGGGGCAGCCTCGCCGTGGCGCACGGCGCGCCACGTCTTCTTCTCGTGCCAGGGTCGATGGCTGGCGTCGATGCTGCGGTCGACGCCGTCGCTCCTCTTCCTGGCGTCGGTGCTGGCGCTGGCGCTGCCGCCCTCCAGTGTCTGGCCGCGCAGCTGAGGACCCTGCTCCTGTCCTCCTTTCTGTGGGCGTCCGCGGTCGGGGGGCGCTGCTGAGGACCCTGTTCCGTCCCTCCTTTCAGCGGCCTCCGTCAGCTTTTCATCACGCCACGCTGCTGAGGACCCTGCTCTTGTCCTCCTTTAAGCGTGCAGTCCGTGGCGTGGTCGTGGTCGTGGTTGACGAGATGGTAGCTCTGCGGTAGGTGGTCGTTTGGTCGTCGGGCTCGTTGTTGGGAAGGTTTTTCATCCATCAGGTCTCCATGCACCGACTTCAAGTTGGGTTTTTGGCTGTCCCACCTCGTCCCGCTATGGCTAGGGGTCACAGTGCGCTCGGTGGGGGCGAACCCCAGACCTTGTTGTTGCTTGTCGTGCTTGCCTGTAGGTGGGTCGTTGGGGGGTCGGCTTGTTGCTGGTGTTGTAATGTGGGTTGTGGGCGCACTTGTGAGGCCTCCATGCACCGACTTCAAGTGGGGTTCGTGGCGGCCCCACCTCGTCCCGCTATGTCTCGGGATCACAGTGCCCTCGGTGGGGGCGAACCCCAGGCCTGGTGCTTGCTTGTGTTGTCGGTGGGGGATGTCTCGGCTGCCCTCCGCTTCGCCCCGTGGGCGCTCGGGTAAGTTTCGTCTCCGCGATGGGGATGGTGGGGGTGGCAAGCTAGGGCGGACCGCGGGGGCGCGGGTAGTGGCTGTCCTACCCCCCCCTGCCCCCCACCATCCCCCTTGGTAGGCGCGGGCAGTACTCGTCCTGCCTCCCCAACCTTCGAGCCCGTCTCGAAGTTTGAACCTTGCCTCACCTGGCAGCCGAGTCGTGCACGCGTGTCGTTTGTTCGTTTGTACGTTGTGCTCCGTCGTTACCTGCGTCTGTGTCGGTCCTTGCGCGGGCAGCACTCCCCGTTCTGGCCTTTTCCGTGGGCGTCGGCCCCCGCCAGGCTGGTGGGAGACTCTCGTCGTCGCGACCACCCTTTCGACTGGAGGTGGCGCTTCGTCTTGGCAAGTGGCGCGTTGCGTCGCTCGAGACGGGGCTGGCTGGGGAGCGCCCTAGGCCCTGGCCGACTTGGCAGTGCCCTAGACCAGCCTCGCATTCTACATAGTACGCGTCGAAGATGTTCAGGTTCTGGCTGGTCGGCGCTGCGCTTGCAGTTCTGAGGCCCCACCTGGCCACTATGTTGCAGTCGATCAAGTCGGCGATGGCAAAGTCGATCTCGGCAGCGTTTGTTGTCGTCACTCTGTTGCGCAGGTCGTCGCGGAGGCCGTTGTCGAGGATCTGTGTGGCGCCGAGGTCATAGTGCTGTGCCGTGGTCTCGCTGACCGTCGTCTGCTTGGCGAGATGCCGGCATTCGGAAGTCTGTCTGCAGGTCGACTCGGCCGCGAGGGCGGCGACGAAGGGGGCGCGGGCGGTGGTCGCTGCGAAGAGCATCCGCGGGACCTCTCTGGTGGCGTTGCTGGCGGCGAAAATCTGGTCGGCGATAGTCTCGGAGGTGTCTGGCGGTCCCCAGGGAGCCTCTGAAGTGCGCCGTCTGCTGCCCCCGATGCCCAGATCGTCGCTGGCGTCGTGGCGGTGCCAGGTCCGCCGCGGGAACTCCGCGTAGATGGCCGCGATCTCGCCGTGTAGGATCTTCTGTTGTACTCGCCGAAGTTCTGGTAGTGGTGTTGGTGACTGGCCGTTGCTGTGGGTCGAGATCGAGCTGTAGTCCAGGCCGCTGCTGCAGGTGAGCCCGCTGTTGGCCATGATCTGCTGGAGGTCCGCGGCCCGTCGAGGGCGGTCGGTGATGAAGACGCCCTCCTGGCGCGCGGCTGATCCAGCAGGCGTGCTCACGGGAGGCCGGCTGGGCGAGGATTCGAGCCTGGCGGATGCTTTCGGTACCGCGGGTGGCGTCTCCAGGAGCGGCAGCGGCGTGACGTCGCACTGGTAGGCTGGCTTGTCGCTGAAGGTCGAGTGGCGTCCTTGCTCCTTGTTGGCTGTCGTGGCCTCGGCGATGGCGTCGAAGTTCGCGGCGATCTGCTGCTCTGTCAGAGGCTCCATCGTCTGGTGGCACCAGGCATGCCAGGATTTGCGGCAGCGGTGGGCCACCGAGAGGTGCTTCATGAGCCTCGGGGGCGTGTGGTGCTCGGTCTGGCAGCAGCGGCATGC